GCTTTCTCTTATATTTCTTCAAGTGTCCCCTGTATTTCCAACATTTGGTATCAAAGCACAACCAGGTGCATGCCAAAATATTAGCCACGTGAAAGAGAAATGACAGGAAGCAACAATAATGATAAAGAAGGGAAAGTCACACTCCATTATCCTATGTTATATAGAAGCAACTATGTTGCATGGGCTATTAAGATGAAAGTGTTCTTGCAAGCTCAAGGTGTGTGGGATACTGTAGAGCCCAGAACAACAAACATGGTTGTAGAAGTAAAAAAGGACAAGATGGCCATGGCAGCCATCTACCAGGGTATTCCAGGGGATTTGTTGTTGTCCTTGTCGGAGAAGCAAAAGGCCAAAGAAGTATGGGAGGCCTTGAAGATCATGTTCAGGGGAGCAGATAGGGTGAAGACAACAAGAATTCAGACTTTAAGAGCCGAGTTTAAAGCCTTGAGCATGAAGGAATCAAAGGGTGTAGACGAGTTTGCTGCAAAGATAGGCAACATAGTGAGTACTATGCGTGCATTGGGGGATACGGTTCAAGAATCTTATATAGTGAAGAAACTACTAAGAGTTGTACCATTCAAGTTTCTCCAGATTGCTTCAACTTTAGAACAATTTGGTAATTTGGATGAGATGTCGGTTGAAGAAATCATTGGAAGATTGAAAGCTCATGAGGAACGCATGAAGGGTCATGTTGAAAATGAAGAAAGAAAGTTTCTTACTCATTAAGAATGGATGGACAAAAATAAGAAGAAAACTAAAGAGGGCTCCAAGAACTTGCACAAAGGATACCGTGGAGGGTCTAGCGCATCAAGGGGATGAGGCAGAGGTCGCGGAAGAAGTACCACCAGTAACCATGGTAGCCATGGAGGTCATGGTTCTCATCAACAGAAGGATCATGGACCATCCGTTACTCGAGACATGAGTAAGCTGCAATGTTACAAGTGTCAAGAATTTGGGCATTTTGCTGCCGAATGTGAAGATCCAAGACGCGAAAGAAATCACGATTTAAACTTAGCACAAGAGCACATCGATAATGAACCAGCCTTGTTATTGTCGATCCTTGATGATACAAAAAAATCATTGAAGTTCACCTAAATGAGGAAAATGTGAATCCACGATTGAAGATAGGTGGTGGTAAGGCAACAAGTTTGTGGTATCTAGACATAGGTGTTAGCAACCACATGACAGGTGACAAAGAAAAATTATGTGACCTCAATCAAATAATATAGGGCTCAGTCAATTTTGGAAACAGATCAAATCTTTGAATTGAAGGGAGAGGTTCAATCATCTTTCAGTGCAAGAATGGTGAACAGAGAAAGCTCCTAGAAGTGTACTATATACCAGACTTATTCTCTAATATAATAAGTCTTGGTCAATTGGCTGAAGGAGGAGATGAGATTCGAATAAAGGACCCATTTTTATGGGTTAGTGATGCCGCAAGAAAGTTGCTTATTAAGGTACAGAGGTCTCGAAATGACTCTATAAAATCAATTTGAATGATGTAAAGTCAAAGTGTTTACTTGGAGAAATCAGTGACTCAACATGGCTTTGTCACACTAGGATGGGCCACATCAATTTTGATGCTCTAAAGGCTATGTCAGATACAAAATTGGTAGATAGAATGCCAAGAACAGACAAACCCACTCATCTCTATGAAGGTTGTCTAGTAGGGAAGCAGACGAAAAATCCCTACCCAACACAGTCGAGTTTTAGAGCAACACGGAAACTAGAACTTGTACATGGGGATTTATGCGGACCTGTCACACCTCACACACCCTCTGGGAACAAATATTTCATGCTTTTTGTTGACGACTATACAAGAGTCATATGGGTCTATTTAATGAAGACAAAAGATGAAGCCCTCCAAGCTTTCAAGAACTTCAAGGCAGTAGTGGAGATTGAAACGGGAGAGAGTATAAAGGTATTTTGTATAGATCGTGGTGGAGAGTTTCTTTCGAACAAATTCACCGTGTGTTATAGAGAAACTAGAATCGAGAGACAGTATACAACTCCATACTCTCCACAACAGAATAGTGTTATGGAGAGGAGAAACAAGATTGTTGTGGAGATGGTAAGAAGCAATATGAAAACGATGACAGTGCCAGACATGTTGTGGGGAGAAGCAGTAAGTCATGTTGTCTACATCTTGAACCGAGTTAACACAAAATCACTCAAGGATACCACGCCATACGAATTATGGACTAGAAGAAAACCTTATGTGGGACACCTTAGAGTGTTCGGTTATGTTGCTCATATGAAGATAGCAAAAAGCCATTTAAAGAAGTTAGGTGATAGAAGTAAAAGGGTCGTACACCTTGGAATCGAGAAAGGAACGAAAGCATATAGGTTATTGGATCCTGATTCGGGGTTGATTTATGTGAGTCGGGATGTGAAGTTCGAAGAAAAACAAATATCGGTGTGGGAGGAGGTAATAAAAATCAAGTCTAAATTTGGCATGAGCTTTACAGTGGAAGGTTACGACCTAATTGAAGGAGAAGAAAATCAAGGTGGACCGATACTAGGTAATATAGAAGAAATAGAGTTTGGGTTGCCACAAAATAATGAGGCATCGACATAAATTGGGCTAATATCCATTACTCCTCAAATGGACTCACACATAAGTCCATAGGGAAGTCCAAATCCCAACTCATCGCAGGTCAACCCTATTACGCCTCCAATACAATCACACTCAACCTCACCAGCAACTCCGAATTCCTCTGTCGGTTCATCGAGCAGAATGTCAAGTTCCACCGGAGGTGGTGCCCCCAAGCGATTTCGATTGATGGCTGATTTGTATAAGCATAACGATCGATTGCTACTAGTTCATGATGAAGAAGAACCCACTATGTATGCAGAAGCAAGAGAACGAATTGAGTGGATTGAAGCGATGAAGACAGAGCTAAACTTAATTGAGAAAAATCGGACATGGAACCTGGTTGAACTCCCAAAAAGGCGAAAAGCTATTGGATTGAAATGGGTATTCAAGCTGAAAAGAGACCCAAGTGGAATAGTTCTAAATCCTAAAGCTAGACTGGTGGCACGTGGTTATGTTCAGAAACCCGAAATTGATTAAGAAGACGTGTTTGCACCGGTTATCAGGCTTGAGACGGTACGTGTCCTACTTGCCCTTGCAGGAACTAATGGATGGATTGTACATCATTTAGATGTAAAGTCAGTTTTTTTGAATGGAATTTGGTGGAAGAAATCAATGTAAGACAACCGCAAGGTTTTGACAATCAAGATCAGAAGCACAAAGTTTACAAGCTCACAAAAGCCCTTTATGGGCTTAAGCGAGCACCCAGAGCTTGGAATGCTTGTTTGGATAGGTATCTAAAAGATTTGGAGTTTAAAAGATGCTCTCAAGAGTATTCAATATATACATGAAACAAAAAAGAAAAAATATTTATTGTAGCTGTGTATGTAGATGATCTGCTAGTAACAGGTAATTGCAAGTTAGAGATATCTAACTTCAAGATACAAATGAATAAAAGGTTTGAGATGAGTGACTTAGGTCTTCTATCTCACTACTTGGGCATAAAAGTGAATCAATTTGAAGGTGGGATCACTTTAAAACAGGAGGCATACGCAAGAAATATTCTAGCAAAGATAAGAATGGAAGACTACAACCCCACCAAGTGCCCAATTGATCAGAAAGTGCAGCTAAGAAAAGATGAAGATGGTGAGTTGGTCAACCCAACTGAGTACAGAAGTATTGTGGGAAGCTTACGGTATTTAACACATACCTGTCCCGATCTATCGTTTGCAGTTGGTGTTGTAAGTTGGTTCATGGAAAAACCGACTGAAAAACACCTCCAATTAGTAAAAGGTATCCTTAGGTATGTAAAGGGAACCTTGGATTATGGTCTGGTTTATTTAAGAGGGGAGAAAGAAGTCAAGATCAATGGTTATTCAGATAGTGACTTGGCGATGGATGTAGATGTTCGAAAAAGTACTGGTGGTATGGCACTCTACATCATAAGAATCTAGTTACATGGGCATCTCAGAAATAATGGAGTGTTGATCTATCCTCATGTGAAGTAGAGTTTATGGCAACTACCATGGCAATTTGTCAAGTTATTTGGATACATCGCCTACTGATTGAGATAACTAGACAAACAGTTGCACCTGCAATCCTACATATTGATAACAATTCAACTTTAGACCTTATGAAGAACCCGGTGTTTACGGGAGGAGTAAGCATAGACACAAGATTCCATTTCATTAGAGAATGTGTGGAAAATATTGAAGTGATAGTAACTCATGTTTGCAGCAAGGAACAAATGGCAAATATCCTTACAAAAGTCATGGGAAAAATGAAGCATAAAGAGATGCAGGAGCTAATTGGAGTTAAGCAGGTGACAAATTCTGGATTATGGGGAGATTGTTAACTTAATCCAGATATTTGAGTTATTTTTATCTAATTTTACTGCAGAAAGTTTATTTTATTAGAATTGAATAAGTCTTATGGCATATGGGTTCTAATACCGAGTCTAGAGGGTAGTGTGAGTTAGTTTCCTTGTTTCCTGCATTCTTTTTAGTTTTAAAAGGGAAATGTTTACGTTGATGGATGTATTCCATTTTGTTTTTGTGTGAAAGTGAATAAAAGTTGCAACCTTTGCCAATTATGTTCATTTATCAAAGCTTTACTTTTATAAAGTTTTCTCTTATATTTCTTCAAGTGTCCCCTGTATTTCCAACACTTTGCACTTACTAATGTCTACTAACAATTCAGTTTCAAGTTATCTTTAGATGATTCCAAATATAAACTATGGTGTAGAATTTTTTTGGACATGTTTAAAGGTGATAATGTACACTTACATATTACTAGAAAAACAAACCCCAAAGAGATCATGATAAAGTCTGGGTGACCATTGATTCTAGAATTAGATCGTTGTTTTATTCCACGTGTGATGCAAATATGTTACATATTATTTCTAGTGATAACTACACCTCAAAAGACCTTTGATACAAGCTTGATGAGTTTTTTTCTCAACAAAAAGATGTCGCGTATGCTTCAACTTCAAGAACAGTTTCGTAACACCAAGAAAGACTCCTCCTCTATTACAAAATTTTGCCATTCTCTAAAGAATTTGGCTGAAGCTTTTGTGGATTGTAACTCAAAAATTGATAAGGTTGAGTTGGTGATGCAAATTCTAAGACAACTTGCACCATCCTATCACATTATTTTCGATGTCACTACCAACACAGAACCCTTTCCACCATTCCTTGAAGAAAAGAATATGCTACTAATGTATGAAACTAGTGAAGAATCTACTGATCCTCTTGTTGATGTACCCCTCACCTCCTTCGCATATCTTTGCTCAAGTTCGACCCATGGAAAATCACGAAATAACTTTAATAAAGGTAAAATAATGGGTGGGTTACTTCCATGGGTAAGACTTATGTTTCTGCCAGTTCTTATCATTTTTAGGAACTCAAGGCGTGCATGTGAAACTTCAAGCACTTTATAGAGCTCCAACTATGATTAAAAACTTGCCTCCAAAGCAAGGGAGCCTCCTCGGACCTAATCCTGTTGTGGTTGGCTCTAATCAACAGGTCCCACCTACTTTCGCTGCAAATTAGTAGCCCTTCGCTATTGTTGTTGCTTATCAACAACATTAATTTGTTGCTTATATGATGTTGCAATACCAACAACAGTTGCTGCCAATTTTCCATCAACATTTGCAACCCCTATTGCCTACAAGCTTCAACACAACAGTCGTATGTTGCCCTATTTTAGCATATGTATTCGTCAACATCCTCCACACCGCACCCTCACATCAAGATTTTGCTGGTCATGGTTCTCAACAACAATTAACATATTTATCTTCGGTTTTTCAAGCTATGTCATTATAAACTCCTCGTTACAACAACTATTACATGGACTCAAGAACAAGCTCTCACATGTCATTCAACCAAGGTACATTGCACTAATTAACCCTTTGTAAAACCGAGAACAAAATCTACAACATGGTTTTAGGCAACGACATCATCTCATAATATTGTCAAAGGTTGAAAGTTTTCCTAATCACTTAGAAAACATTGATTCCTCCATTCCCAGGAAAACCAGTATCATGTATCTCATCAATGGACTCACTCCAACTATGAGGCCATTATTATGGGTATCCGACATTGAATTTCACTTCTGGCTTTCATTCAAGCTCGATCTATGCTTTTACTTGAAGAACAACATTTGTAAAAAAATCGTCAATCTTTTACCACGCACGTTGATCATGATTCCTCGCCAACCATTTTACACATGTGTAATGCTTTTTCTTATAAATCATCTAATGGTAATAATCAAAAAGTCAACAATCAAACCAAAAATCAACGAAAAGGTAACAACCAATACAACCATCATCTACCACAATCTTTCCGAACCATACGCATTAGGCGCTAACTTGATAGCCCTACAACTGGTTATCCACCTGATGGGTACCCTTTTTCATCACTAACTCCTTCCCGACATCAACCTTTTGCACACCTACAAAAATAGTGAAACATCTTAAATTTCAAACAAATTTTTTTTAAATTACCCAAAATATTTTTCATTGACCCAACCATTAGAAAATTACAAGTATCAAATACAAATCATCATCACAAATATCAGAATGCCATAAAATGCACAATAAGAAAATCTACCAACAAGTATGTATAATCAGACCTTTGCTTTCCCAAGATCCTCAAAAGTACCTGCAACACATATATCAACAACTGTAAGCACGAAGCTTAGTGAGCTCCTTAAGATATCTCATACATCACGACACATAAACAACTATGGTTTATCAGCAACCTTGGAGATAACACGAAGTCTCAGCCGGCAAACAACACGTCCTGTGGATTATCAACAACCCTGGGGACTACCCAAAGTCTCAGTCAAACATAAACAACATAACAGAGAAATAACAGTTAGACCCACCTAGTCAACATAGATACAACTATTCTACCACACATTTAAGAATAAGTGAGGAGACTCACCTGATACTGATGATAGATAAATCTCACACCCAATCTACCAGAACTAGATTATGCCTAATAAACACAACAACTAACCTTATTTAATTAAGTTTATAACCTGAATCATGGGTCCAATCCCACAACTACACCCCTGAAGGGCAAAAAGACCATTTTGCCCTTCCATGGTCCAAGACCCTAAATCTTTTAATCAAAGTCAAAAGTCAGCAAAAGGCAACAAGTCTAAATTCTTGTATCTACGTGGGGTGTACACCTTCCTATGTGGGGCATACGACTCAAGTCAACAATCATCAGGGATGGGGATGGCTACACGGGGAGTAGCCAAGAGTACACCTAGCGTACTCTGCCTGATCCATAATCAACAACCTTTATTTCTTAATCATTTAAGAAACTTATCCTAGCTTTAGATCTGACCATTATAGAATGTCTTAACCCATAAAGTCACCGACTTTAATCCTTTTCATGGCTAGATAGAGATCAATACACAAAACTCAAACTTTTACAACAATCTAAGTCACTTAACTCATGCATGGGCCAATGGAAATGATCAAGCAACCATTTTTATGAATCTAAGCACTCTAATACATCTAAAAGGATAGCCAATATACTCTGGAGTACCCCATACTCTCAAAGGTCCAAGAATTAGGACAAAAAGCTCAAAAAAATCCATCTAAAGAGATCTAGAACGAACATCAACAATGTATGGACGTTATAACTTCAATAGAAGCACAAGATGAAGGAATTTCATGATCTACAAGCTTGCAAGCAACACCACCTTCTTCAAGGACATTCTTCCTCAACTAGAATATACAAAATCACCAAAAACACTCCAATATCCTCACTCTCAAGGATAAGGTTCGATATCTAGGGTTTAGAGGGTAGGGAGTTCGTCTAAGAGAGGCATAAGGTGTTTAAATAGGGGTCACAACTCAATTTAGAATTTTGTCATCTGCATGCGTAAGCCCGATGTACCTACTCATACGCCCAACATACATTGCCTCCATCCCGATCCTTGATAAGGCTTACACCTGATGTACATGGCTAGTATGCCCCACGTAATCCAGAAATCCTCACTTCTCGATATAAAAACATTTGCCAAAACAATAACATAAATAGATTGGTACCTCGGGATTTAGAATGCTAAAATTCTCCACCACTTGGATCAAAATTCAACCTCGAAGTCAGCCTCTGATAACAGATCATGTTAGTGCTCGTGAATCTCAACCTCGGTTCCCATGTCCACTCTGAGCCTTCCAGTGTTGCCACTGAACTTTGACCAAGTTCACTACCTTGTTCCTCAAGGTCGTCACTCTCCTATCCAGAATCACCACTGGCCTCTCGATGTAATTTAGGCGATCATCAACTTGAATGTCCTGCAAAGGAACCAACACTGTCTCATCATCTATACACTTCCTCAACTGGGAAACATGGAAGGTATCATGAATCGGACTCAACACCTCAGGTAGCACCAACTGATAAGCCACCTTGCCCACCCGGGCCAACACTCTGAAAGGGAAAACAAACCTGGAGCCTATCTTGCCCTGCTTCCTGAATCGGATAACACCATTCGAGGGTGATACATTCAGAAGCACCAAATATCACACCTGAAACACTAGCTCAGAGCATCGCCGATCCGCATAAATCTCATGTCAGCTCTTGGTCGTTAGTAATCTTTGTCTAACTTATTAGATAAGTTTATTTGTCTTGAGCACTATCTCAGTGCTTCCTACGACTCTCTGGCCGACCTCGCACCAACAAATAGGAGTATGACACCTCCTCTCATCAAGAAGCTCAAAAGGGATGCATGCCAATTCTGGAATGATGGTTGTTGTTATAAAAAAAACTTATCCAATGGGAGATAGGAGTCCTAACTCCCACCAAAATCAATGATGCATGCACATAACATATCCTCGAGCGTCTGAATAGTCCGCTTGCTTTGCCCGTTGGACTGTAGATAAATGCAACCAGGATGCCCAACTCTTCGTGAAGCCTCTTCCAGAATCTGGAAGTAAAACGAATATCCTGGTCAGACACAATAGAATTTGGCACAATCCATGCCAATCCACTACCTATCAAACATAAATGTCAGCTAGCCTCTCTGTAGAAGAGCTCTCACTTACGGCTAAGAAGTGGGCACTCTTCGTTAAACGATCAACTATCACCCAGATAACATCAACTCCCCTTGAAGTCTTTGGTAATTTCATAATGAAATACATAGTGATCTTATCCCACTTCTATAGTGGAACCTCCAAGGGCTACAATTTGTCGTGAGGGCGCTGGTGCTCAGCGTTTACCTTCTGGTAGGTCAAGAATCGCTCTACAAACCAAGCCACATCCCTCTTTATACATCGCCACTATTAACTATGTTTCAGGTCAAGATACATATTGGTAGCCCTTGGATGAATGGAAAATCTTAACTTGTGGGCCTCCTCCATCAATACCCGTTTAGACCCACCAAGTCACACCCCCGAACCAAGAAAACAATGGAAATGTCCGGGGGTGGATAAAGTCATGTATAGTATCATAACAATTGAATAATTAAGATCAAAGCATTACAACCATCATATTGATAATTTATAAGTTTTTACATTGTATTCGAATCGTTATTTGTTTGATTGCCAAATACATGTGACAAAAATATGTGATGTGACACTGTCACGCTCCATCTTCAAAATCCTTATGAGTACCTGTTTACTGATTTCCTGAGAATACAAGTAGTTTTTAAAAAGTGTCAAAAATTAAGTTGGTGAGTTCATAAGCATTTGTATGCGAAAAAATTACCATTTTTCCTTGTAAGATGAAAGAGTGTGATTCCAGAAAATCTAATATTTTCTTGTAAATGAACTATAGTCTTAGTTACCCTAAGACCGATATGTATAAGTATTCCTATACTAAAAGTAGTAGATTGTAGTTTTAATCCATATAAAACCATTTGAAAAATGTTTCCAGAAATGCATGTTGTATTGTACTTGAAAATAGTGTAATGTAGTTTTATCTGTATAAAACCATTTGTATGTTTGTTTCCAGAAATGTCCGTTGAACTATATTGGGAAATAGTATAATGTAGTTTTATAATTATATAAACCCAATTGAAAACAATGTAAGTTATCTCCGTAAACCAAATGTATTGTTAATACCCCATGTGAGTTATTATAATCATGCTAGCGACTAGTTGGCCTGCTACGTACGACATTCTTCAGGCGTCGGAATGTTACGACATTTGTCACCCCAGACATACTGGTCTAACTATAGCTAATAGTTTAGGCGCGGGATTGTTAGTCCTGTATAGGTCTATACACAAATGTCATGCTCTCCCTACAAGAGACCCTGGTTATAATACAAGACTTTAGTGTGTACTATGTTAGGTACGGTGAAGTCAAATGTCTCACAAACTTGTATTAACTGGTTTATGTCTAGTGTAATGGAAACCCTTTTAATTGTAAATGTATGTATTACCCTTTCATACTGTTTACATAGCATAAAAATAATTATACCTTTAAATAATTATTTCTTTGTCCCGAAAGGGTAAAATAGTGTCAATGCCCCATAAACTATACCTATTATAGTTTATAAAAATTGTTTCGCTGAAATGATGAATCCTTTGTATA